AAAAAAAACGGGGCGCCTGGGTGGCTCAGTCGGTTAGGCGACTGCCTTCGGCTCAGGTCATGATCCTGGAGTCCCGGGATCGAGTCCCGCATCGGGCTCCCTTCTCGGCGGGAAGCCTGCTTCTCCCTCTCCCGCTCCCCCCTCTTGTGCTCTTTCTCTCTCTCACTCTCTCTCTCAAATAAATAAATAAAATCTTTAAAAAAAAAATTCAATCTAAAAATAGGGCAAGTAGCATCACTGTTCCATAAGAGACAAATAGGTGAAGGAGGGGATTGCCTTATTCCGGCACCTTTTAAGGTAAAGGAGGGGGGTCTGCTTTTAACTCATTAGCCAATCAGACTCTGAGGCCACTTCTTAAAGCCACTTCCTGTCTCTCCACTTAACTCTCTCCGTTTTGGTGGTGGGCTGGTGAGTGTGCACTTAATTTTGCTCCCTGTTCTGAATTTCTCTTCCATTTGAACCCTGTATTCTGATGGCAGGCCTTTATTTCAAGCAAGCATTGGAGTATGTGTGAGTCACAAGGTGATTAATTTCAGCTGTGTGGCGACTGGGGGGAGGCAGGGAAATGCTCTGCCTGGCTTATTTCCACGTGGCCTCTGCAGCCCTGGGTCTGCCTTCCTTCCCCGAGACCCGGTGACCCAGAAACAATAGACTCTGCTTCATGTATAGAGTGCCCGTGTTCCTGGAAATCGCCTGGATTCATTTTGCTTGGAGGGAAAGGTATTGTTATTATCCCAGTGCTGTTTTGACTTCTATCTCCCTGGGTAAGAGGGTAGACCTTGGGAGGAGTTTCAGACCAGTACACTTTACTTCTGTCGTGTCTGCAGGGCCCAGGTCCTTGATGGGATTGCAGGACCTGTAGCAAACGTTGTCTTTGCCCTGGTCTTTGCTCAGAGCATTCCAGCTTTCTTAGTGAGCCTCGGCAGCAACCCCTGAAGTTTGATTTTACCGAGCCCTAAGAGGAGCTCCCAATTTTAATGTCACCACTGTAGTGAGGGTGCCCTAAAAAGCCTATACTAAAGTAGAAATCGGGCCTTAGCCCAGGACAAGCCTAAATCAAGTACTAGCACCACAGTTTACTCTTCCAGTGACCTTGGGTGAGTGAGTGAACCATTATGAGGCTCCGCTTTTGAAAATCAGAATATACGAAGGCCAGGTATTATATCAAATGTTAGATACCTTCTAGAAGTAAACACTACATTTATTTTGGATATCTTTTTTCTTATAAAAAGTTTTGCCTAGTGACCTTGAGTGTAAATGGATTCCTATTTTCCTCCTTGATCTACATCAGTTTGAATATAATGTAGGTGTTCGTTATTCATACAGGCCCAAGGTGTGAAAGAAATAAACTAGTGGATGGAATGTGGTAATAGACAGTTGTCGACTTACCATAATCCTTATAATTCTCAAGTTTTATTGTTAATGTTATCTTTTGAAAATAATACATTCACATGGTTCAAAATTAAAAAGGGATCAAAGCGTGTATCACGAAGTCTAGGCCACCTAATTCCCCATGCTCCCAACAGCATTAACAGTTTCTTGTGTGTCCTTTCTGAGCTATTTTATGTAAGTATAAGCAAATACATGTATTTCACCCTCCTGTCTTCTTTCCATACTCTACCAGTTATCTAACTTTTACCACTTAGGATTTCCAAATGAATAAATAAAGAATATCCACATTCTTTTTTTTTTTTTTTAAAGATTTTATTTATTTGATAGAGAGCACAAACAGGGGGAGCGGGAAGGGGAGCAGGAGAGAGAGAAGCAGGCTCCCCGCTGAGCTGAGAGCCTGATGAGGGCTTGATCCCAGAACTCCGGGATCTTGACTGGAAGGTATGTAGCTGAAGGCAGACCCTTAACCGACTGAGCTACCCAGGCGCCCCCATCCACGTTCTTTATAATGGTTTTACAGTAATCTAATGTATGTGCATACCATAATTTATTTAACCTTTATTGGTCAACATTTAGGTAGTTTACAGTCTTGTTGTTGCCCCCACAATGAATAACCGTGTATATAAATCAGTTGTTACATACGACAGTTCAGGTGGTTTTTGATATATTTATAAGGACTCTAAACATGCAGTGCTTCCTGTTACTTATATTTATTTTGTGCACAGTGATGACCAGAAACCAACCAACACCATAAATGTCTTGATTGAGCAATAAAGGATTTTCTATCAAAAGCAAAACCGCGCTGATGGCTTTTATGTGAACATATCTTTGCCCACTTAAGTTTAAGGGATGGTTTATTTTGCTGTGGACTTGTATTTAATGTTGAGAAGGAATGGCAGCATGAACCAGAGAAACCACATGGTTTTTGTATTCACCAAGGGCAGAAGGGGCATGTTTCCAGTGTTTACTTAGCAAAATGTGTGTTGGATATCTTTCTGAAATTATGGTGTTGAGTGGGTAAACTATATTTTAGCATTAAGTTGGGGAAAATGGAAATGTTTTTTAGGATGTAAACATGCAAAACAAAAGCTGCTGGGAATCCCACCAAAGCTATATATATATATATTTTTTTTAAGATTTTATTTATTTATTTATTTGACAGAGAGAGGGAACACAAGCAGGGGGAGCGGGAGAGGGAGAAGCAGGCTTTCCGCTGAGCAGCGAGCCTGATGTGGGGCTCGATCCCAGGACCCTGGGATCGTGACCTGAGCTGAAGGCAGACACTTAACGACTGAACCACCCAGGTGCCCCTATTTTTTTAAGTCTTTTTTTTTTTTGAGAAAATCACTTTATTCTAATTAATTCATAAATGAGAGCATCACAAAAGGTGATTTAAGGAGGCACACAAACATCTGCCCAACCCCAAATTCAAACCATCTCAATGAACTTCTATATAGTAAGAACAACCTTTTTCATTCCAGTTCTGAAGAAAGCTATATTTAATGATGAAGGAGAGGCTTAACTGGTGGTTTTACACTTTATATATTCACCATCAATTATATATATATATATGTATATTTTTTAAAGATTTTATTTATTTATTCATGAGAGACAGAGAGAGGCAGAGGGAGAAGCAGGCTCCCAAGGAGCAGGGAGCCCGATGCGGGACTCGATTCCAGGACCCTGAGATCATGACCTGAGCCGAAGGCAGACGCTTAACCATCTGAGCCACCCAGGTGCCCAATATATTTTTATGCTAAATTAACTTGGTCATGAGAGATGATTTTCCATATCTTCAATTTGAACTTCTTGATTAGGCTAATCTATTTGCAAATCTGCACTGCTTCAGCACCTCGCTGAAACCTTCACAAAGCTTCAGGTCACCCTGGTTCTGGGCACACTCCAGAAACTGTTTCATCTCATAGTAGCATGGGCCAAACTGCTAGTGTGCTGGCTGAGTTCCCTGAGGCTCCTGGTGAGTGATGTCAGGCCTTGAAGGCTCAGCATTGCCTCCTCCACCGAAGCCCCCAGTGATGGCATGACCTATCATGTGCCCGACAGCAGAGCCCAGAGCCACGCCAGCTGCAGTGGTTGCCATCTGGGCTACGAGACCTGGCTGCCGGGGCGGGCGCAGCAGCAGGTGAGCCGACAGCAGCTGGTGGAGCCGCTGCTGGCGCTGGTCTAGGCGCCGCTCTCATCTGAGGTGCTGGGCTGGCCAGAGGGGCCGTTCGGGAGGTGCGGCTCCTCCGGCTTCCAGCCGGCGTCTTTTTTTAAGTCTTAAAAAGGCTGAAAGCGGGTGCCTGGGTGGCTCAGTCGGTTAAGCGTCTGCCTTCAGCTCAGGTCGTGATCCCAGAGTCCTGGGATCGAGCCCCGCATCGGGCTCCCTGCTCAGCGGGGAGTCTGCTTCTCCCTCTGCCTCTGCCCCTCTCCCTGCTCATGCACTCTCTCTCTGTCAAATAAATAAATAAAATCTTAAAAAAAAAAAAGGCTAAAATCATCTAGTTTTCCGTTAGGAGTATCTTGCATTTGGAAGGGCCTTATGAGGGATCTGAATGTCTTTCTTGGCTTCAAGATTATTGTGAAAAGTGAAATTGTTAGACAGGATTCTGTATTCCTATTCATTAGCTGGGTGAGCTTGGACACTTAATAATAGAAACAACATATTAAATATTTAACTACATGCCAGCTACTGTGCAAAGTATTTTATGTTTATTTTACCTCATTTAATCTTCCCAAGGGTCCTAAGAGGTAGGTGATATTTGTCTTCATTTTTCAGAAAGGGAATCAGAAGCTTAGAGAAGTTGAAAATATGTGGGGGAGTCAAGATTCAAATCCAGTTTTGTCTGACTTCAAAATCCATTATCTTAACCACTAAGCTGCCTGCCATTTAGACTCCAAACCTTGCTTGCAGACCTATAGAATGGAGATGACATAGTACTTGCAAAATGAGGTAAATATAGAAAGTGCTTTATAAATTCTGAGATAGACCAAGTATTACGAAACAGATAAAATGTCAGGTTACCAGAGTAGCAGTTTTATTGCCTCCTGTATTCTGATTTCAAGTTATTCTTTCCTGCTGTTTTGATGCAAAGCCCTTAGGTACTGTATTTTCATTTGTTACACCAGCAACGAGACTGGGGCTCTTGGTATGAGCTGGATGGTTGGTCTATGTTCCTGAACTCCCCACTTTTATTTTCTATATGCTCTGAGAGGTTAAAAACAATCACTATTTCTTTTTCTTTTTTTTTTTTTTTTAAGATTTTTTTATTTATTTGACAGGAGAGAGAGAGCACAAGCAGGGATAGCGGCAGGCAGAGGGAGAAGGAGGGGCAGGCTCCCCACTCAGCAGGGAGACCAATGTAGGACGCGAACCCAAGATCCTGGGATCATGACCTGAGCCGAAGGCAGACGCTTAACTGTCTGAGCCCCCCAGGCGCCCCCAAACAATCACTATTTCTAAAGTAGCTGACAGTGAGTGGGAAGCAAAACTTGGAATCTGTTCTGATAGCAGCGTCTTAAAGAGCTATCCCTAAAAGAGAGCCATGCCAAGTGACAGTTAAGCATTTACTTCCTATATGAAGTTTTGTATTGTTTTCCTTTTGTTTCAGGTTGAAGATGGAATCCATGGAGGAAGGAAGGCCTGGGTCTTCAGACCCCTGGCTGCCAGTCCAGAAGTGGCACTGTGAAAACATCTGTAACATCTGCTGTAGATGCCCTAACAATCAAGTGGGCTTGGATCTGGACATTCTCAGTAGGAATGGTTAAAGACTGATGGGACCATAAAGCAAGTACTTGAACTTTGACTAAGCTAGGCCTTAAAGTGTTCTCTATGTCCCATGTCTATGTGTCTTTTCTATCTAAAAAAGATAGGTTCTTTGAGTTACTGTTGTATCCCATAATGCTAGGCACAGAGTAGGCACTGAGTTATTGGCATGGAACAGTGTAAAACTGAGCAGTAGTAATCTTAAAACAGAAGCATCAGATGATTTGGTATTAATCAATTTGTAGTTAGTATCAGGCCTTTATGAAGCACCTATTCACATAACGTAAAATGTACGTTTTGGCCATGAGCACCAACATTTAGAAGCATTTATTTCTTACAAGGAACAAAATGCATGGGTCATTGATAGTTCACGGGGGAATTTACAAATTATTTACTTAAGCTCCCTAAATGCTCAGTAAATATGAAATGGCCTTCACATGGTAGAATGACGTTTGCTGAAGCATAGCCAGAGTCCTGCAGGGAGCATCATGTATTGGGAAAGGTATCCTGTGTTTAACATCAGGATTTATGTCCTAAACTTTAGGTTATGTGCCAACGATACAGAGACCAGAACTTTTACAATCTAGGTTGTTTGTGAGATGATTCAAATAGAGAAGTTGCACCTTTATATACATATATTCTCCTGTAGGGAATACTTGGATCATGGAGTTTTGAGGTAGACATTGTTAAAGCTGTAGAAACCCTGAACTTCAAGTCTTACTTCCTGTCTGTGTTCCCTTGGTTAATCTAATATGCTGCCCATCTGAAAACATCTTACAAAGTGGAGTATTATTCAACTATAGGACAGGGGTTAAAATAACACTTTGATTATATGTCTCAGGTACTTAAAACACCTCAGTTTCCTTCTGACCTACTGTGCCACAATAGCATTCTCATTATGTGCTACAGCAAACCATCTTCTGTGGCTCTGCCTCTTATTTCATGTAGGAAGTGGCGTGGTGAGGTGAAAATTGGGAGTTTTCACAGAACTGGATTTAAATCCTAGCTCTTTTTTTTTTTTTAAGATTTTTATTTATTTATTTGACAGAGAGAGACACAGTGAGAGGGGGAACACAAGCAGGGGGAGTGGGAGAGGGAGAAGCAGGCTTCCAGTGGAGCAGGGAGCCCGATGTGGGGCTCGATCCCAGGACCCTGGGATCATGACCTGAGCCGAAGGCAGACGCCCAATGACTGAGCCACCCAGGCGCCCCGCTCCTAGCTCTTAATAGCTAGGTGACCTTGGGAAATTTATTTAACTTCTCTGAGCCTCAAATTTCCCTGTAAATATGGGATTGTCAAGTTTGAGTGAGATGTTTTTTACAGTTCTTGATAGATAGTAGGAATTTTCAAGAATGGTAGCTACTACTTCCTTTCTGTCAGTGTATTTTAGTCATACCCATCCTTTAAGGTGCTGCTGTCCAACAGAACTTTCTGTGATGATGGAATGTTTTTGTACATTTGTACATGTTTTGTATTGTTCAGTATGGTAGCCATTAGCCACCTGTGGCTACCGAGCAATTACAATGTGATTGGTGTGACTGAAGAATTTAATTTTTAATTTAATTTTAACGGCTGAATGTGGTGTTACCTATTAGACAATGCAATTTTTTTCTTAAGATTTTATTTATTTGACCCAGAGAGAGGGAGAGCACAGGCAGGAGGAGCGGCAGGCAGAGGGAGAGGTAGAAGTGGGCCCCCACTATGTGGGACTCGATCCCAGGACCCTGGGATCATGACCTGAGCTGAAGGCAGACGCTTAACTGACTGAGCCACTCAGGTGCCCCTGCAATTTTTTTTCTTGTGAGGAGAACTTTTAAGATCTCTCTTAGCAACTTTTAACTATACAATGTGGTATTATTTTAAGTGCAATTTTAAGGCTCATTCAAGACCTGTACCTTTTTTCTTCATGAAGACTTCTGTGACCAGTGATTCTTCTTCTTCTTTTTTTTTTTTTTTTAAGATTTTATTTATTTATTTGACAGAGAGAGACACAGCGAGAGAGGGAACACAAACAGGGGGAGTGGGAGAGGGAGAAGCAGGCTTCCCGTGGAGGAGGGAGCCTGATGAGGGGCTCGATCCCAGGATTCTGGGATCAGGACCTGAGCTGAAGGCAGACGCCCAATGACTGAGCCCCCCAGGCGCCCCCCAGTGATTATTCTTCTTAGCATAGCTTGCTCTATTGCTCATTTGATACTCCCCATGGACATTAATTTTCATGAATCTTGTCTTTCTAGCTAGATTTTATCTGAGGTTATACATTTTTAAATCTTCACGTTGCTGCATTGAAAGGAACTTGATAAAAATATAACTAATATATTTTAAAATTTATTTTATTTCATTTTTTATTATGTTACTCACCATACATTACATCATTAATTTTTGATGTAGTGTTCCATGATTCATTGTTTGCGTATAACACCCAGTGCTCCATGCAGAACGTGCCCTCTTTAATACCCATCACCAGGCTAACCCATCCCCCCACCCTCTCCCCTCTAGAACCCTCAGTTTGTTTCTCAGAGTCCATAGTCTCTCATGGTTCGTCTCCCCCTCCGATTTCCCCTCATCATTTTTCCCTTCCTACTATGTTCTTCTTCTTCTTTTTTTTTTTTTTTTAACATATATTGCATTATTTGTTTCAGAGGTACAGATCTGTGATTCAACAGTCTTACACAATTCATAGGGCTCACCATAGCACATACCCTCCCCAACGTCTATATAACTAATATTTTTAGTTAGTAAGTTTTAAATTATCATTAAATGCAATATAAGAAATTTTCTAGTTAGTAATCTAGTGAATAGGGAATAGTCTGAAGGTTGCCTGCAGTGATGAATTTTGTGTCCAGCCTGTTTCACCTAAAAGTTAGATTACTACACTCAAGTGTCGGAAGAGGCAATTATGCTTTTTCTTATATTGCCATCTTGTGGCCAACTTGGGTGCCAAATGATACTAATTCAATTTTTCTGTCAGAGGAAGTTTTCTTTAGTTTATTGTGATAAATTTTTACCAAGAGTAAAGGTTAAATACAGTCAGCATTGGCTGAAATGATATGGAAACATGCTTTGAAAAAAATGTTAACTATTTTGGATTACCTTCTCATTTTTTTTTAAAAGTAGACTCCACGCCCAAGGTGGAGCTTGAACTCAAAACCTTGCGATAGAGTTGCACGTTCTACCAACTGAGCCAGCCAGGGGCCCCAGATTACCTTCTTACTTATCTTATGAGTTCCTGGCTCTTTCCTTTTTTTTTTTTTTTAAGGATTTTGTGAATTTAATGACTGGTTACAAGGGTTTTCTGTAGTTAAACATCCTGCGGACTTGGAGAGGTTGGCAGTATCCCATGCCACTTATTCCCCATATCACTGAATTTTTCCCATGGCTGTCAAGCTCTGGTTGCAGGCAGGACACGGCTCCTTTCCTTTCCATACCTGTTCTCTTATTGTCAGAGTTTGGTTAGACTTACTGTCTAGTTTTACCCAAACTTTTAAATTTATTTATTTATTTTTAAAGATTTTTGTTTGTTCATTTGAGAGAGAGAGCATGAGCAGGGGTGCGGGGTGGGGGGGGGTGCACAGGGAGAGGGAGAAGCAAACTCCCCGCTGAGCAGGGAGCCCAATGTGGGGCTCCATCCCAGGATCCTGGGATCATGACCTGAGCTGGAGGCAGATGCCCCCAAACTTTTAACTTTATACAAAAAGCTGATCTTGTGTAAGAAGACCTACCCTAATGTGATATTGAGTTTGGGCATTTCATGATGTTCTCCAAATAAATGGGTCAATTTATATTACTGACTGGAGGTTCATATAAAGAATGAAGTTTTCCTTGAGGTTAATTTTCCTTGAGGCTATAGGGTATGACTTGGGAGGAGGCTGGTGTGCATTCAAGTCGTATAATCATCACCTTTATTTACTTACTTACTTTTTATTTTCCAGAGATGATACATCTGGAAAGATGATGCTTAGGTAGTTGGTAGATCATGTTGTTCAACTAATTCCTTGATAGAAGCTGATTCATTTGATACCAGAGGTAAGTATAAAAGAAAACTGTTTCTACTTCATTTGGATTTTTAATCACTTACTAAGTTTTGGGGCCTGGTGCTCTTTGTGGCTGGAATTTGGTAGTTTAAAAAAGCCTTAGTTCTAACCTTAAGAGGGTTTGCTTGGTTTAGCGATGAGGAGCCGGTGGTGGTTTGCCCTTCATCAGTCATTTTCAGTTTGCCATGATGAAATGCATGTTAAGTCCGTGTTTCAGCTGATCACCCTGATTAAACACATGCTCTGAGCAGACTAAAGCTAGGGCAAACACCTGGAGTTGAATTCTGCTTCTTGGAATTCTTACTGGATTCTAGCCTCCAGTCCCAGGTAGTTCTTTTAAATATTTGAATTATGGATCTGGACACTACAACACTTTGTTGTGCTTTGATCTTTGTGGTATCTTCTTGAGATAGGTAGAACCAGGGTCAGGAATCCTTAATCTAAACATTCAAACACTACAGAAAAAGCACTGATAACTGGTATAATTCTGTCAACCACTTTCCTTGGCTGTTTTAAACTTACCACTATTTTATTAATCTATATGTAGGATTAAGAGAATCCCAGAGTTGGTTAAGTCAATTTTGTCAAGATCATAAAATGTGACACTATATAGTCATTTAAAAGTTATGATAGAGGTTTATCTTTCTTGAAATGGAAGGGTATTTATGATACATTAAAAACAAGTTATAGAGCAGTATGTGCAATCCTTTTTATGGTTAAATATTTTCATATACTTATGTTTACTTCAGAAATTATCTGACAGGATATACTCAAATACCAGGGATTATTGTCTCTAGAATTGCATTCTAAGTGTGATCTTGTTAACCTGTATTTTCTGAGTTTATTATATTCATGTATTGTGTAATTGAACCTACACGGAACAGGCTTCTATTCTTTACCTGTGCTTGCATGTTTCAACAGAGAATGGGGTACATATGAGGAAGAAATACAGGAAATGCAAATAATTCAAAGTAACATCAGCATTTGAAATAGTTTTTAGTTTTGGCTGTGTCTTTTGCAGAAATGAAGTTTCAGGAGACCAAAACTAGATCTGAGTCTCACTTCTTTCCCAGCCTGGAATTCTTGGGTGCTCTAAGTCCTGGATATACAATAGATGATGACAACATTTTTGTTTTATGGTAAGGCTTAGAAGCTTTGACATACATATGAATCTTTGAAAATTCGGCTTTATGGTTTCATGGCCAGCTGCTAAGTTGCTACAAAAATTTTTATTTTTTAAAAAAGGCAATTAAAGATGTTGAGAGGTTGCTTAGTATAATAGTTATACATGGATTCTGGAGTCAGACTGAGTTCAAACCCATCCTTTGTCACTTAATCAGCTCTGTAACCTTAGCAGGTTTCTTAACATCTCAGTCTCTTAGTGTCCTTGTATCTTAGAAGATGAGAATAATAGTACTGGATTCAAAAGAATAGGATTTGACTTTGAAGATTAGATAATAAGTGCATGGGCTTAGAACATTGTTTAAGCATATGGTAATCACTCAAAAGATGTTAGCTGTTGTATCATCAAAGTCCCTGTGCAGTTTTTGCTTATATGCATCTTTATGCCAATTGGCCTATACCTCATTATGTTTATCTCCAGCACACAAAGCCTAATTTAGTTCTAGAGTTAGGCAAACTATGGTGATAAGGACTATAGTGTGTATCTCTATATAACTGTTCCAATAACATTTCTTTAGTTGATTGATCTTGTTTTGGCATCAATTTATTTATCATCTTATTCCTCATTTTGTCTCTCTAGCTGGTTTTGTCTCTCTAGCTGGTTCTTCTAGCTCTTAGTTGACTTAAAAATTTAGATGTAGTGATTCCTTTTCAGAGTGACTTGAGGGTACCTGGGTGGCTCAGTCGTTAAATGTCTGCCTTCGGCTCAGGTCATGATCCCAGGGTCCTGGGATCGAGCCCCGCATTGGGCGCCCTGCTCAGTGGGGAGTCTGCTTCTCCCTCTGACCCTCCCCACCTCATGTTCTCTCTCTCAAATAAATAAAATCTTAAAAAAAAAAAAAGAGTGACTTGATAGCTTTATTTTTATAAATGTTCCTTAAAGCATTTATTAAAATGGTTGGAGATAAATTTTGATGGCTGTTCCTCTCACTGCTTGGAGCCTTAGGTAGTGGGATTTTAGTCCATCATATATCAAAGCTGACTTGTCTTCACTCAGGGCACCATTTGGGTGGGTTGGCCATCCGTTAGTGTCTTCTGATTTTTGCGGAGTCATACAATTACAAAGCAGGTGGTGAATCTAGATAAGAATGTACCTGTGATTGAAAAATAAAACTAATATGAAAACATGAGGATATAGTTTTTAGAAACCCCTTTGACTACAAAAGTATTTGAATAGCACTGACCTAGGACCATGAAAGAAAGAGGTCTAGTAAACTGATTCTGAGAGTTACTGAAACATTATACTCTGAAGTCATTAAATATCAAGTGGTTTAATCAGTTTTCTACTGATGAGTTTCTATTGATCAGTTTTCTACTGAGTAGCTGTTTATACATTTCAAGTTAGTATTAAAAATATCTTTTTCTTTCCAGCATGAAGGTAGATGATTCTTCAAATTAAAGATGGAAGCTGACTTTTCTCACCAGAAATGGTTTATAGAATCAACTTGCAAAAATATAAGAGGCACCAAAGGAAGGAGTAAAATATTTGCTTTTATCATTCCTAGATTCTCTGCTAGATTGTAAACTCCATGAAAGCAGGAAAACTTCCTTATCTATATGCCTGGCCCAGAATAGATACTAAAAAATATGTGAAGTGAGTTGAAACCTCCATTAAAATTTTTTTTTTTTAAAGTCCCTGGAAAATGGCAACTATTTTGATGGCATTTCAGCAAGACTTTTATTTATTTATTTATTTGACACAGAGAGAGAGACAGTGAGAGAGGGAACACGAGCAGGGGGAGTGGGAGAGGGAGAAGCAGGCTTCCCACCGAGCTTGGAGCCCGATGTGGGGCTCGATCCCAGGACCCTGGGATCATGACCTGAGCCGAAGGCAGACGCTTAACGACTGAGCCACCCAGCCGCCCCTATATATATTTTTTTAAAGATTTTATTTATTTATTTGACAGAGAGAGACACAGTGAGAGAGGGAACATAAGCAGGGGGAGTGGGGGAGGGAGAAGCAGGCTTCCCGCTGAGCAGGGAGCCCGATGCGGGGCTCGATCCCAGGACCCTGGGATCATGACCTGAGCTGAAGGCAGACGCTTAACCAACTGAGCCACCCAGGCGCCCCAAGACATTTATTTACATGTAATAATTGGGACTTCAATTTTGACTCTGGTGGAAATTGTATATAAAGGTACATTAAACTATCTGGGTACCAGGAAGTCTACTTAAAACACTTAATATTTGGGGAGCCTGGATAGCTCAGTGGTAAAGTATGCAACTCTTGATCTTGGGGTTCTGAGTTCAAGCCCTATGTTGGGTGTAGAGATTATTTAAAAAATAAAATCTTAAAAAAAATTAAACTCTTAATACCTAATTATCATGCTTGATCCATTAAGAGTCAATGACAAATGGCTACCAAAACAACCTGGGTATGTGAGGAATAATTATATAAAAGTTTACTGATATTTAATAGGAAATCTTTTATTATGAGCATTTTATAGCCCTGTTGGACATTTATCATTGATTTAAGTTTTACATACCACTCAGGTATGAATAAAAAGTCATTTCTGCTTTATGTTTATAATGTTGAAATATTTTCAATTGTTTTGGCTAAATTATACTTCAGAAATTTTTTTGCTTACATAGTATAGTTATATCCTTGAGGGTATATTTTACAAGCAAAGGATATACAAAATACAAATTCAAATATTGGAAGTCTGGTACATATCCCTGCATTTTGAAATATGATTTAATTCTCATGCTTATATTAGAATTATACAGATGGCATGTCACTATAATAACTTCTGTTAGAATTTGAAACCGATTTTTTAGATTAAGATTCTTCTATTAAAATGAGTATAAGTATCAAATTAGTTTTAGAGTAGATCATGCTAACATTTTTTTTTTTTTTTAAAGATTTTATTTATTTATTTGACAGAGAGAGACACAGTGAGAGAGGGAACACAAGCAGGGGGAGTGGGAGAGGGAGAAGCAGGCTTCCCGCCGAGCAGGGAGCCCAATGCGGGGCTCGATCCCAGGACCCTGGGATTATGACCTGAGCCGAAGGCAGACGCCTAACGACTGAGCCACCCAGGCACCCCTAGAGCATGCTAACATTCTAAGATTCAATGATAATAGGAGAAATTGCTATCTTGAAATTCTTAGAGAAATGTGGTATATAAATAATATAACTGATAGGTACTTAGAATATCTACATAAGATCAATATTAAACTTTATGATAAAAAAATCATTTTTGAAAGTGAAATAACCTGTAATTAAATGGTATAAGTGATGTGTAAGCACAAATTGTACAGTCAGATTTTATTCAGACCCTTACATTAGGAAGAATGGATTAAAGATCTATAAATGAAAAGCAAAACTTTAAACCTATAGAAAAACAAGGAATATGATGACATTGGAATAGACATAAACACAAAAAAGAAAGATTGATAAATTTGTGTACACTAAAATTCAAACTTAGGTTTGCATGCCATGTAACCAACAAAGGATTCCATATAAATCTAGAAAATGATCAAAGGATCTGAAAGAGTTAATTCACTGCTGAGAATCCCTGAGTAGTCATTCACCTGAAAAGATGCTTAATCTTACTAGTAATCAAAGAATTGCACATTAAAACAACATTCAGATACCATTTCACTGTCATCATAAGGGCAAAAATGAAAACAAAACAAAACAAAAAATTGACACTTCCGTATGTTGCTGAGTGTAAAGCAATGTGATCTCATCTTTGCTGGTGGCAGTGAAATTTATTTGAAGTTGATTAGACACGAACCCAGTCTCTAGGTATTATATTTTATAGGAATTCTTATCATGTGTACTCAAGGAGACATGTACAGAAAGTTTATTGCAGTATTGATTTTAATTGTAAAAACCTGGAAGAAATGTCCTTTAGAAGAATGGATAAATTGTGGTATATTTGTAGTATTTGGCTGTTAAAATGAATCAGTGCAAGATAGGTGTATTAACTTGACTACATCTCAAAAATAGGTTAATGAAATGGTGTATTGATAGGTGCTGTATGATAAGGTTTAGTAGTTTTAGGACATGCAAAACAAGATGGATGTATACATATATACTAAAAATATAAAAGCATCCATGAGAGTGATAAATACCAAAATCTGGCTTGTTTACCTCTGGAGAGGTAGGAGGAAAATCAGGAGGCTTCAGCTGTAATTGTAATGTGTTCCTTCATTTGAAAAATATCATATGTGAGAAGGATTTCAGTTTATTAAAGCTGAGTGATGGTCATTCTTCACACATTTTTTGTATGCTTGATATTTAATAATAAAAACCAAAATTAAAAAAAAAAAGTTCTTTTTGGTGGATGGATCTTTGTATCTCAGCCTTGATTGTTTTCAGTAATCTCATCCCCAGGAGCACTCTAGAAAAGAGCCCTTGAAAGGTTTGTTTATGCCGTAACAGGAGAGGACACAGTGCCACTGAGAAGCGGGTTAGTTCAGTTCCTGGTGTTCCAGATTACTGGGATATTAAGACTTTGTAGCACCCTGCCCCCTTTTATTCTATCTGGCAAAACGTGTTGGCAAAAAAAAAGTATACATACATATACATATATATATGTATATGTATATATGTTACTCCTACAGGCTTTTAGCCAAATGGGTTGGAAATTTGAAACTGATCTGGTGGGAAAATCGTGCGGGGAACACTAAGGTTTGGGGAATCAGTGGTCTTAATGATGAAGCAGGAAGAGATCATATTGCAGTACAAAGGTTTAAGTTAGATCGCAAAGTTAGGTACTGGCTGAATTTGAATGCTTTGTGTTTTCTAACTTTGAGATTGTATTCCTTTGTTGTACTACATTTGGCATTGTTAAAATCAGAAAATGCACAAAAGGCTCAGATAGCCAAAATAGATGTTAGGGGTTTACACACGAACCCCCAATTTTGTTTGAATCCAATTTGTACCACTGGAATTAAGTTACCACTCTAAACTCTAACGACGTTTTAGGAAATGCATACAAAGGTCAAGATGACCCTTTCTAATTACTGTGAACAAGCTGCAAGTAGACAGAAAACTAGCAGAAAGTTGTTTAGTTAGGATAGGTTTTTGTTTGAAGAAGAATGGGTTAGTATTAGAGATTCACTACCCAGAAAGGGGTTTGCAGGGCTTTGGTGTCCATTGGGTTGCTGATTCATTGGATTGTGTCTGTTACTAATTCACAATGGGGTCACACGTGGACAGGTGGCCGGCCACAAAAGACAGCATTAAGGCTTGTATTCCAAGGACCCCTCAAGCCCTCCTCAGCTTAGTTTCTAATATGATTCTAACAGACTCCTATAGATTGAGCAGAAAATCACACAGTTTACAAAGAACAGAAAAGAAAGTGACGGGTAAGAGCATTAGGGTAAAACAGGCACAAACATTTAAACAATGACAAGTAGGTCCAGGAGAACACACAGGCAGAGCACCTCAAAAAAGCTGACACCCGATCGATCCTCTCGCTTCATTACAGGCGCTGTAATGAATGTTGTAACACAGACTCTAAACCAAGAAAAAGTTCTGTTTTCTTTAAATGTATCTAGAGGATGTGTAAAAGCTAGAAAGGTGTCTTTATCAAGATGGATTAGAAAAATAAAATGGCAGAATCTACCTCAACATGGAGGTGATAGCTATCCAATTACAGGTATCTCAAATTTCTGGGACTTTTTCCTGAAACTACTTAGCAAGTCTGCGCTGCCCCGCCGGTCCTCCCCAAGGGTTCCCAGGACAAACACGACACCTGCGTGTACTCAGGTAGGGGCACAAGCCGGCCCTGTTAGCTTCTCAACTGTCCCACTCCCCGTCCTGCTCTTACTCAGGAGACTGACCTCAAATGTTACACCCAGGATAGCCTAGGATGTTACTTTTGTGCCAGTTGAGGGCAGTAAAAGGCACTCCGTGACAGTATCCATGGGGCTCCCAAGTGGGAAACCTGGACCACGCTCAGTGGGACGCACGCCCTCACAGCGCCTGAGACGCGCGTGCGTGGGGATATGCGCCTGAGTCCAGGTGCCACAGCCTGACGGGTCCCAGGATCCTGAGCGGCCGGAAGCCCTGTGACCGCCACCCGGCAGGCTCCAGGGCCACCCCGCGCATGCGTTCTGTGTCTTACTGGAGAGGCACGGCGAATCCTCGCTAGTGTAGTGCTAGAGTTGTGGAGGCAACGGCGTTTTCCCGCGCTTTTTCTGCGCGCCTCAGGTTAGATATTTTATTTGTATTATTATTGTTATTTTCTCTGTAGAGTGCAGAAAGCAGGCCAAGAACTCCAGAGTGAAGTTTCCGTGAGTCTAATTCCCCAAAACTCGGCCCTCGGTAACTTGGGACAATTCACCGAATTGGCTCTTTCCCCCAGTCGTGGAAAATTTGGAATTAGCTGCACCTCCCGCTCTGCCTAAGAAAGTTCTCAGCTTTAAAACTTCCCAGCTCTTCTGCTTCTCCTATGCCTGTTATCCTGCTGGAGGTAAAATAGGCCTTATAACTCCTGCTGCCATTTACCCTTGGAGACTAACTCAGTGGGTACTTTGGGGTAAAGATGTCAGAGCGTCCTCATGGACCCCTGTGACACAGGCAACATTTTTTTTTTTTTGATCAAGGCAGCATTCTTGACAGAATTTGTTGGTTAATAAATGTGTTAAATATGAATATTTTCCTTGGTGTATAATTGGTGTGTCACAGTTATTTCATACAATATATGATTTTGGTATATCCAGAATATTGCTGTCCAGTTTGGGTTAGTAAAACTAGTGAGAGTGGACACTATATTGAAAAATAACTTAAGAGTATTTATTTACTTAAAAGTATTTATTTAGTTTTACAAACTTTTACTGAGAGTATAGCATTCAATAGTATTTATATTAATAGGTGAATTATTTGATGATAAAATAAATCAGCTTTTGTACAGATTTTCAGGTTTCATAATGGTCATTTGCTTGGATGAATTAAATTATTTTCCATTTAATACTATCAGATTACTACTCTTTTTTTAGGTAAGGCAAGACAGGTAAAGAATCTGAGAAATCAGTGTATATGAAAAACCTAAAAAGTAACTTAAAGAACACTTTTCACTAAAGAATGGCTGAAATTGGTGCCTGGGCTTATATCTGCCAAGTGTGAGAAGTGGTACTAAAATATTCTAGCAAACTATGGATGGTAGTAAATTTGGCTTTTTTGTTTAGGTATTGAGAAATGGCAGAAGGCAGTAATTAATTTTTATTTGTACTTTGTAAATGTTCCTAAGCTTTATTTTCCATGTACATATTATTTTTGGCTTTAGTAAGATTTGGACCACTTGTGTCTTTAATTTTTTCTTTAAAATTTTTTTTCATGGGCTTTCTATGGGTTTACACAAGGGAGCACAGTTAATATTGTTGAGTGACTGAAACCTATATAATATGTTGATTATAATAAATACAAACAATAAAATACATTATTTTATCATAATAAAATGAAAACATGTTCTATTTCATTTTCATTGAAATATGACTTATTTGACCTTTTCATTTACCCCTTATTGGGATTCTTTTCAGCATCTGCAGACTTCAATCTCTGTTATGTCTTTGTGTGAAGACATGCTGCTTTGTAACTATCGCAAGTGTCGCCTCAAACTCTCTGGTTATGCGTGGGTCACTGCCTGCTCTCACATCTTCTGTGATCAGCATGGCAGTGGTGAGTTTAGTCGTTCACCAGCTATCTGCCCTGCCTGCAATAGTACCCTTTCTGGAAAGCTAGACATTGTGCGCACAGAACTCAGTCCATCAGAGGAATATAAAGCCATGGTATTGGCAGGACTTCGACCAGAGATTGTGTTGGACATTAGCTCCCGTGCACTGGCCTTCTGGACGTATCAGGTTAGTGCTTAGGCTAGGTTTTCTGGAGAGTATGATTTGAGGCATATGTGGAAGCTTCTAATGTTTTTCCTTCATTGTGTTTGTATTCATTTTTTTACAAGATTTTATTTTTATTTGTCAGAGAGTGAGAGCACACAAGCAGGGGGAGCAGCAGGCAGAGGGAGAAGCAGGCTCCCTGCTGAGTAAGGAGCCCAATGTGGGACTCAATCCCAGGACCCTGGGATCATGACCTGAGATGAAGGCAGACACCTGACCGACTGAGCCACCCAAGCATCCCTCATTTTTTATGAATATATAGAAAACATTCTTTTAAATAATTTTTTAAAAAGATTTATTTATTTATTTATTTATTTATTTATTTATTTATTTATTTATTTATTTATGTGAGAGAGAGTGTGTGTGAGAGAGAGAGCGCACAAGCAGTGGGGAGGGGCAGAGGGAGAAGCAGACTCCCTGCCAAGCAGGGAGCCCAATTTGGGACTGGATCCTAGGACCCTAGGATCATGACCTGAGCCAAAGGCAGACGCTGAACTGACTGAGCCACCCAGGCGTCCCAATAAATGTGTTTTTTTTTTGTTAAAGAAATAGGTTTATTTTTGGAAATCCAAAAGAAGGAAAATAAAAAATGAACTATAATTCCATAACTTAGAGATCATTGTTGATATTTTCATATGTGTATTACTGGACTTTTTCTGTGTATAAATATATATTTTGTCCAAAAGTAAGGGTAATATCAGTTAAAGCTGACATTATGCTTATTATGAACATTTTATTACATATTTTTAAATTAGCTATTCTATAATCATAATTTGAATAATTGTATTGCATCATAATTTATTTTCAAGTTATAAAAAAAGTTGCTAAGATTAAATTCCTGAAAGTGGCTGAATACATTTCAAAGTTGTAAAAATTGCAGTATTTTGGGATGCCTGGTGGCTCAGTCAGTTAAGCATCTGACTCTTGATTTCAGTTCAGGTCATGGTCTCAGGATTGTGAGATCAAGCCCTGAGTCCAGCTCCAAGCTGAGTGTGGAGCCTGCTTAAGATTCTCTCTCTCCCTCTCCCTCTGCCCCTCCCATGTGTGCTCTTCTCTTTCTCTCTCAAAAAAAAAAAAAAATTAAAAGTTGCAGTATTTTATTTTTTATTTATTTTTTAAAGATTTCATTTTATGTAATCTCTATACCCAATGTGGGGCTTGAACTCACAACCCCAAGATCAAGAATTGCATGCTTTGAGCCAGCCAGGCACCCCCAAAATGACAGTATTTTAAAATTGCCCTCCAGTTAGGCCTGGGGCCTATAATTTTTTGTTCCCTTAAGTGTATGAAGGTGCTTGATTCTCATACTTTGTACTCACCAATTAGATATGAGTAAAGTAGAATCTCATTATTCTTTTTTTTATGTTATGTTAATCACCACACATTACATCATTAGTTTTTGATGTAGTGTTCCATGATTCATTGTTTGCGTATAACACCCAGTGCTCCATTCAGTACATGCCCTCTTTAATACCCATCACCAGGCTGACCCATCCCCCCATCCCCCTCCCCTCTAGAACCCTCAGTTTGTTTCTCAGAGTCCATAGTCTCTCATGGTTTGTTTCCCCCTCCAAGAATCTCATTATTCTTTAAATATGCCTTTCTTGGATGACTTTTAGATGAAAACATTTTCTTGTATTTTTTTCATGTATTTTTCTTTTATGCATTGCCTGTTTCAATTTGCTTATTTCAGTTGCTATAGGTTTTTTTTTCTTACTGATTTGTTAAGAATTCTCTATGTATTTAACTCAGATGTTACAAGAAATTTTCTTTTTTCAGTTATCTTTTATTAGTATGATTTTTAAATTGGCCTTTTTTTTATTGTTGAGTTCTAAGAGTTCTTTGTATGTTTTGGATAACATTCTTTTATGAGATAACGTCTTTTACAATTTTTTTTTTTTTTTAAGATTTTATTTATTTGACAGAGAGAGACACAGCGAGAGAGAGAACACAAGCAGGGGGAGTGGGAGAGGGAGAAGCAGGCTTCCCGCTGAGCAGGGAGCCTGATGCGGGGCTCGATCCCAGACCATGACCTGAGCCGAAGGCAGTCGCTTAACCAACTGAGCCACCCAGGTGCCCCACAAATATTTTCTCTCAGTCTATGGCTTGTCTTTTTATTCTCTTGACATTGTCTTTTGCAGAGCAGAAATTTTTAATTTTAATGAAGTCTAGCTTATCAATTCTTTCTTTTGTAGATTGTGCTTGCTGGTGTTGCATCTAAAAAGTCACCATCAGGGCGCCTGGGTGGCTCAGTGGTTAAGCGACTGCCTTCGGCTCAGGTCATGATCCTGGAGTCCCGGGATCGAGTCCCGCATCGGGCTCCCTGCTTGGCAGGGAGTCTGCTTCTCCCTCTGACCCTCCTCCCTCTCATGCTCTCTGTCTCTTATTCTCTCTCTCTCTCAAATAAATAAATAAAATCTTAAAAAAAAAAAAAATAAATAAAAATAAAAAGTCACCATCAAACCGAAGATCATTGATTTGCTCCTCTGTTATTTTATAGGAATCTTACAGTTTTATGTTTACATTTAGGTCTGTGATTCATATTGAGTTAATTTTGGTGAAGGTTGTACAGTCTATGTTTAGATTCAATGTGACCTCAGTATTTTGCTGGCTATTGCCCAAAAGCTGCTCTCAGTTACTTGCCTTGTTGCCCTTTGCAACATGGCTACTTGCTTCTACAAAGCCAGCAAGAGAGAGAATGTGCTACTCAGGCAGACTTTATAGTCTTATGTAATGTACTCATGAAGCAGGATCCTGTCATTTTTCCTGTATTCTAGTCACAGTTTCTGTCCACATTCAGGGGGAGGATCTAAGTACAAGGAGGCAGGGATAATTGGAGGCTATCTTACAATCTGTTCTCCACAGTGTGGATTACTTGAAATATGAAATTATTTCTTAAAAACCTTAAGATTCCACGTCACTTGTTAAGGTTAGACAAATACTTCTGTTAGTATAATGATAGCAGTTTGAGAGTATTCCTCCAGAATGTTTTCCTATGCAGTTAGTGACACAGTGTATTATTTTCTATAATAACCATCCTATTGTACATCTAGTTTGCTTAACCTGGTTCTTTTTTTTTTTTTTTAATTTTTTATTGTTATGTTAATCACCATACATTACATCATTAGTTTTTGATGTGCTTAACTTGGTTCTAAATGTTAAATTAATAACATCCCAGTGTAAGTCTTTCTTTTTCTTTTGCATTTAAAGTTTTACAATATATAACTTAAAAATCTTTTTGTGGGGACAGGTACATCAGGAGCGTCTCTATCAAGAGTATAATTTCAGCAAGGCTGAGGGCCATCTGAAACAGATGGAGAAGATATATACTCAGCAAATACAGAGTAAGGATGTAGAATTGACCTCTATGAAGGGGGAGGTCACCTCCATGAAGAAAGTGCTAGAAGAATATAAGAAAAAGTTCAGTGACATCTCTGAGAAACTTATGGAGCGAAATCGTCAGTATCAAAAGCTCCAAGGCCTCTATGATAGCCTTAGGCTGCGAAACATCACTATTGCTAACCAGGAAAGTACCCTTGAACCATCCATGATTGCACAATGTGGTGTTTTTGGCTTTCCATCAGGTAAGAAGGGACATGTAATATCCAATAAGTGTTCTTTAAATCTTTCACATTGTGTTCTGCACAGTTCCAGGAAGTCAGTGGAGACTCCACAGGCCTAGAGTGGTATAGGCTTCAGATTCTTCATCCATGTCTCAACATGTACATCTTTGCTTTTATCTATTTTATTCGCTTGTGGTGAAGGTACATCTTCAATGTAAACAGAGAATAAATCTCTCCAAAATAAAAGTTTGCAGATTGGTACTTTAAGTGAAAAGCTACTTCCTTGGGGTAATAAGAGTATTAGCTGCCATTTGTTGATTCCTTACTAAGTGCTAGGCACTGTTACAATTTTACACATATTCCTGTTATTTTTCAAAACTTTGTGATGTAGTTATTATTATCCTTATTTTACAGATGAGAAAACTAAGTCACCGAAAGTTTAAGTAAATTGGTCAAGGTCACAAAACTGTCTTCAGAGCCCATACGACCATTTCCTTCCTCAAGAAGGCCATGTTCAGTTTCTTTCACATGGCACAGTTCTTAAGTTATTGTTGGTTGTTTGGTTGTTTCAATTTTTTATCAAATATTTATCAAACATATTTCATGTGCTAGGCTGCTAGACATAATCCTAGGTAATGAGAATATAAGGATTATCCAGATAAGATTCCTGCCTTCTGGAAGTGTACAATCTAGGAAGATACCACTTCTTTTTTGCTCTCTAGGTGCTTTGGCAAATGCAATGAGTCTCATATGTCTTCCTGAGTTCTCCTCTTTATACTACTCTTAATATAACAGAATCCAATAGATTTTTGCTATGCTATTAATATAAATTATTTTTGGCATATAAAAAAGTGAGGTTTCTTGTGCGTGATTTTCCTAAATATATGTTTTTTTGAATTATAGGCTGAGGAAAAAGATTTAGCGGGGGAGGAGATGTCCTAGAAAGGGCGGGAAGTAATGAGATGAGGTGTATCAGATAGAAGAATTGAAACAAAAACAAGTTTTTGCTTAATTTTCAGTTAGTCATAATTATAATTTAGTCAATCAAAGTGTTACTGTATATTAACATTGTAGATATTTTTTCCTTGTTACGATCCACATTTATTTTGATTTCTTTCATATTCACTAGTTCTTTCCTGTTCCACTTTTTATGTACACTTACCTTTTTACTTTCACCTCTTGCTACAGTTGTTGGCTTGAAGCAGGTATAGTCTGCATTCTCCTTTAGTTACATGTTCCCTTTAAAGCTTGTAGAAGCCAGGGGCGCCTGGGTGGCTCAGTCGTTAAGCGTCTGCCTTCAGCTCAGGTCATGATCCCAGGGTCCTGGGATCAAGCCCAGCATCGGGCTCCCTGCTCCACGGGAGGTCTGCTTCTCCCTCTCCCACTCCCCCTGCTTGTGTTCCCTCTCTCACTGTGTCTCTCTCTGTCAAATAAATAAATAAAATCTTAACAACAACAAAAAAAACTTGTAGAAGCCAAAGAATGGCTCGGTGGAAGTTGTTAACTGTTTATTTAATCAGATCTATTGTCTGATTTTTCTTAAGGTTATTCTAATTGGTCTTAGATCATGAGTATATGCCAGTTTTTCATAGTTGTCATATATTTTCTAGAGTGTTTATGGCAATCTTTAAAAGAAAAATTATTCTTAAAGAACCTGGGATAAAAGGTTTTATACACACGGAATATTCCTTAAAGTAGATTACATGGGTAACGAATAAAATTATGAATTGTAAGTTCTAGCTTTACTAAAAACATATTTCATTGTGTCAAATTACTTTTGGTGATGAGGTAATGGCTATTGGAAACTGCGTCACAGCAGAAAGTATGGTATGTACTGTGGTCATGGGAGGGAGTGGGAGCCATCATAGCCCTTTTCTTTATCCAACGTTAGGTTTATATTTTACTGTCTCATAGGAGTTGAGTTCTGTTAAAATATTTATTAAATAATTTTGTGTTTTTGTTCCTAAAGATCTGTAAGGAAATAGATGCTTGTTTTTTCTCCCTTTTTTTTCCCTAGGGAACAACTCCAAGTTTCCTTTGGACAGTACACCGGTTCGAAATCGGGGTGGTGGAGATGGAGATTTTCACTTCAGACCGTTTTTTGTGGGGTCTCCCACAGCACCTGAACCCAGCAACAGCTTTTTTAGTTTTGCCTCTCCAAGTCGTGAATTAGAGCAGCAGCAAATCTCTAGCAGGGCCTTTAAAGTAAAAAGAATTTAGCTCACTTTACAGAATATTTCTCTGTTCACTCTTAGTGATCTCGTTTAGCAAATAATCTTTATTCTAGTTAGGATGAGAATCACCAACCTTTGTGTGCTATTACATTTTCAACTTATGAGGAACTCAGTGTCAGCAGGAGTGGCTTTAGGGTCTGGCTTCTTTTTCTGTTTCCATCATTTGAAGTGTGAGCATTATATTAAACTCAAATTTATTGTGACTGTTGAGTTTTCACCAGTAATGAAAAGGTTACAGTATTACTGCTTGTTTTGTAGATCACCATTTGTTTTCTGTCTGTGTTATTTCCGACTGAACTAGGTGTTTATGTATATGTATATAAGCACGTATGTTATATGTCTACATGTCACTTTATGTTCTGGTATTTATGCATATATGCATATATGTTTTCCTTTATATGGATATTTTGCTGTATTTGCCAGCATATTTATGTGAAGATTTTGGTCTCAGGAAATGGCAGGTGAATCTATAGCTTGTTATTTGGGTACGTTCCTTTATTTGTATATATTTATGTATCTGCCCTTGTATTAATTTGTTTGGAGGTGTGCTCATGTTGGTGAATAAGAATACAATTTGATGCTTGTATGTTGTCTGTTTTTCTATTTTTTAATTTTGTTGTCTGTATTTCTAATTAAAAATGATTCACAGTGATAAAGTTATTTTGTAAAGGTGATTTTTTGGCATTTATTTTAAAATGAAATGACTTTACCCTTTTGCCAGAAGTGCCTTATTTAGGAATACACTCTTACCACAGAAAACTTACAATATGTTATTGATCTCAAGAGATTATATTAATTAAAATACTTTTAAAGACTTATTCCTTGTTTTCCTTTATTAAGTAGCATTTCTGATCACTATCACAAATAACTTACTTGAACCGTAGAGCTGGGGCACCTGGGTGGCTCAGTGGGTTGTGTCCAACTCTTGATTTCTTCGGTTAACTGTCTGACTCTTGATTTTGGCTCAGGTCATGATCTCAGGGTCCTGAGATAGAGCCTTGGGTCTGGCTCTGTGCTCAGTGGGGAGTCTGCTTCAGGTCTACTCTCTCCCTCCGCCCCTTCTCCCCTGCACACGCTCTCTCAAATAAATCTTAAAAAACAAACTAACAAGCAAACATAGAGCCAAGAAAGAAATTTGAAGAATATTTTCAGTTACTTTACATCCTCTTAGTGGCATGACTTGAAAGCATACTGGTTGCAGAAGCGGAACATCTGGGATCTAGTTATGTTTTTTCCCATACATTGGTTGTGAGTTTGAGTTTAAACTTTTCTGGGATTGCTATATCTGGAAATGAGGGACTGAATTAAATTATCCTGTAAACCTTTTCTAACTGTTAAATTTCATTATTTATTTTTATTGGTTTGGGAAGAATTACAGTAGAATTATCTAAATACCAAATCCCATTGTAATTCGGGTTAATAAAGTCATACTGAAAGCTTTTGAGGATATTTTATATTTAGCCATAGAAAGACAAGTGAATATCTTTGCTTTACATAATTGATAGCAAGTAATGTTTTCTTCCTTAGTAGTATAGAATATTAAATCTCTTCAGAAACATTTTTTACTATATCCCAAAGCTAAAATGGTGTCTGAGAAAGAGGATGAAAAGTGCTGACTTAAAAGTTTTGAAACATCTCTTCCCAGTTCATAGCTGTTAACACAGATTTTATAGATTACCTTACAAAGTATTTTTCTTCCCTATGCAGTTTTAAATTTTGTTGGAAAATGGTGTGGGGAAATAATTTTATGTGTATTCATGATTTCTGCCTTGAGCCTTTACTTCTTGTGTTAGGTTTACAGGATCAGTTTGAAATACAAGTAAGCTATAATTAAAAAATAAAGAGAATTTCTTAGGACATTACATGCTACTTTGAAAAAGTTACTTATTGAAGAGTTTAATATATTCACATGTCACCATACAAAAGGTGTAAAAAAGGCATGGAGTGAGGTCTACCTTTCACCCCTGTGCCCCAGTCACTCACTTCACTTTTCTGAAAGCAACTACTGTTGGCAGTATCTTGTGTATCTTTCAGAGATAGTCTATGTGGAAGCAACTAATATTTTATGTAAAAATTATGTTTATTTTTAAATTGTACGTGCACATGATAATTCAAAAGTGTACCCAGCAGGGCGCCTGGGTGGCTCAGTTGGTTAAGCGACTGCCTTCGGCTCAGGTCATGATCCTGGAGTCCCGGGATCGAGTCCCGCATCGGGCTCCCTGCTCGGCAGGGAGTCTGCTTCTCCCTCTGACCCTCCTCCCTCTCATGCTCTGTGTCTCTCATTCTCTCTGTCTCAAATAAATAAATAAAATCTTTAAAAAAAAAAAGTGTACCCAGCAAAAGAATTTTCTTTGCCTACTGACAACTCTTGGTCCCCATTTCCCTTTACAGGGACAGTCATTGTTTCTTATAGGTCCTAGATGTAGTCTATCATTATGTTGGCATTATTAGTGTCCTGACATACTATTAGTTTATTAGTTATGGCTTTCATGATACCATCCCGAGTGAGCAGATTTATTAAGATAGTGTGTTCAAAATGATGAAATCCCTCTGATATAGAAAATAACTGTCAAGTTTGGAAAATATTCAGACAAATTACCTTACCATTGTACTACATTTCCCTTAAAATTTTAAACTTACAACACAGGCATACACTGTCTTAACCCGCCTTTTTTGGCAGGGGGAGGTGGTACAATCTTGGTATAAGTAGAAAGATATAGAACAAAAAGATATGCGCAATTAAGTTGAGAATATTAGAGGTTTCCATGATTTGGGAAAGAAACAAGTTTATGAACTCAAAAGTGATCATAGAGAATCGCCTTTGAGCTACAGGCATTGGGTTAAGTTGGTTTGCAGCAGTGCCCTTCCTTGAAAACCAGTTCCTAGCCATGCTTCGGGCCCTCCTAGCAGATAACCTTGCTCCAGGTCCTGCTGGGATGTACTTTTGGCAATGTGGTTGGAATGTATCTGGCTCAGAATTACGGCATACCACACCTGCCTAAAAAAACTTGTAGAAATTAAAAGAACTTGGATGTCAAGAAGAAACCCCCTAGTTCATGAGGCAGACTCTAGCACTGCCTTCTGGATATACTGATCCTGCCGTTCTTGAGTGACTCCTTACCATCTGAATCAAAAGCTTTTGTTTTAAATTCCAGCCTCAGTGATTTTCCTCTCTGCTAGATCTGTGTTGCCTTAGAGCACAAATGGGCCACAAATTAAGAACTACCCTTTTCCAACATGCTCACCGCTTCCCTTCCTCCTTCCAGCCACTTGGGATGGCCCAAGACTGGAATTATGGTGCTAGGTTAGTAAATGTGACCCCTAATTAGTAGTCTCTCCTTTATTCTTTGGGATTTCTATTACCCCCCACTTTTTTTTAAGAAAAATTGATGAGTTTTGTATAGTTGATCAGATATAAATAATGCTGATTTCACAGTTTAGCAATTATGATGGTTGTTTAAACATTTGGTACTAAATTATGTTGTTTCAAATAACTAAAATTAAAGTCCAAAAGCCAGTTACTCCTGAATTATCCATTTATTTTATACTGTTGTCAGGCAGCTCCAGAGTTGCTAATTTAACCAGTAAGTCTATTTGTTACTCATTAACTGAGAAACTATATTCTGAGAACCTTGTCAGGAACAAGGGAGTTTAAAAATATGTAAAATTAGGGCCTTTGTCCTCTGTAGAGTTCATAGTCTACTATGCTGTTTTTCCTCAACGATGTCTTTGATTTGGCTCTTTCCCCTCAATAGAATCATATTTACTTTACGGATTACAGGTGTATTTGATATTACATGGTGGATAAATGACAAGTTGTCCATAAAGGAAGTTTTGTGCCTTTTCACAACAAAAAATGCATTTACATTATAACTTTATAGTGATTCTCATAAGAAAACTGTTTTTTTGTTTTTTTCTCTTGCAACCAGAAATCACCATTTTAATTTATTAAACGTATAATTAGTCCATGTATTTTTTAATATTTTTTTTAATTTAAAAAAATGTTTGGATACATGGAAAAACCCCTCAAAACCCAAACCCACATAACACACCAGCTCCTCTACTCAGGCGCAGGTAAGCCTCCAGTGCCCTAGATGTCGCTCTGGCTCCACGATGGGGGTGGGTGTGAGTCTCTATGGTTACCAAGTTGGGGGCGGAGAAGCCGAGAGTGGCTGGGAAATGATGGCTGGTGAAGACGAGGAAGTCAAGCAGGTCTTGCAGAAATTGCAGGTGAGCCCGTAGATTAAAATCTGTATGTGCCTTTGTTACTCGGGAAGGAGCGGGGAGCCCAGTTATGTAGTACCAGCGAATTCCTTGGCGCATGCAGCACGCTGCATGTGTCGCTGAGGTTTCTGTAAGAACTCGCCAGGGTGCAGCCGCGGTCGGAGAGGGGAGCCTCCCGGGCCAGGGGAGGAGCGCAGCCGAGCGTGGGGACCTCCTGCTGCTGACCTGAGTACACTCAGTTTCAGTCCTATGTGAAGAGGATTTGTTGCCCCTAACTTTATTCTTGCATGTTCTTAGGGAGTTGTTTTGTATTTTGTTTTGTTTTGTTTTGTTTTGTTTCTCCCTCCATTCACCCATCACAGGTAGTATACACAGTAGTAGATCTGCAGGGACTATTACCATGTGTTGTTTTGATTCCCACAAAGGCCCTTTCTTCGCTACTTACCTGCTTTGAAATTGGCAACAAGCAGAGTAATAGCTTGCACCACTTGCATCCTGGTCACTCCCCTCAGGACTCCACGGTTTTGATTCTTTTGCACACTTGCAGTCCCAGCTTGGGGTCTGATGACGAGGGGTCCATACTCCACTTAGTTCATAGCTGACTGCAGTTGTGACTAGGACTAGTCTTTTGTACTTGGTAGGTATGCACTAACTGGTTGTTTGCTCTTTACCTTCTTTCAGTGACCCAAGATTTTCCTCAAATCTCAGAAACTCAGTTCTTTGTCTTCTAAGACAGCCTAGAATTTATTTTTTAGTTTTATTTATTTAAGTAATCTCCATACCCAACGTGGGTCTCAAACTCACCACCGGGAGATCAAGAGCTGCATTCTCTTCAGACTGAGCCGGCCAGGTGCTCCCAGTCTGGAATAAACATTAGACTGGTGACAGGTTTATAAGCTGCTTAAAGACTTGTAATGCAAAAGTTTAAACATTGGTGAGACTTGTTTGTTTCTTGAGCAGACTAAGATAATAACACTTTTTATAGAGTGTGAGCTTTATTTTACTTCCACTTGACTTAATTTCATTCCCTAGTGTGACTGGCTGAAATTAGAGATTCTCAATCCTGGCTCCGTATTAGAAACATTGTGTATATGTATAAAAAAATTCTGAAGTTATCCCTGAGGTTGGGGTGATTATGAGGCATTTTTTATTTTGTATTTTTTACATGTACTTATTTAAATTTTAGTAACTTACATATATTACTTTTTCCATGAGACAAGAAATTATTAAAAATGTTCACCCCAGCAAAGTCAAACAATTTCTTGCGTATTTGCTTTCAGGACTAGAAACAGACACTGAGACCCTCTCTAAAATTCCTGATTTACAGCCATGCGCATTGCAGGGCACAAGGAATTGGGTTGTAAGTTTTGCTGGGAACAGTCTTTTCCTGGGCTCATTTGTGGTAGACGGACTAAGCATGTATGTTTGGGGTATCTTGGGCGGGGTGGGCAGGAATGGTGCAGGAATGGAATGGGGGAATGGAATAGCGGAGAGGAAGAGGATAGTGATGTTGCTATCCATGGGAATGGTGGTACGTTTTGATTTCATTGTCATTTTAGGGCAGAAGGAATGTCATAAAA